ATTCTCACATTAGCTACCACTTTACTAAGGCTTTTAAAAAGTAACCTAGTTATACAGTTCCTGCCTTTTCTAACAACAGACAGCTAGCTACCACTGAACAAAACCTATCAGGCACCAACACATAATTATCATTATTTATTCACAAATTTATCAAAGCTTCTAAGTTATGATAGAAAACATGTTTATCTGTTTCACTATACATCTAAAACTATACAAGAAAAGACTTACTTGGGTTGAAGAAAGAGAACAAAATCTAGAAACAAACTACAACACTTAAATCATTTAAAGTAGCATTAATGGAGAAAAAGAAAGTTCATATTAAAAACCATACTCCAAGATAAACTCAAAAATAGACTAAAAGTGCAAAAATGTAATGTGGGGGCTATACATAAGAGGGAAACAAGGGGTTCCTTATAAAGTACTGGTGTGAAGAAAGGGGAAAATGATATAATATCAAAAAGTTAAGTTTTAAAAGTCACAAATATAAATGAAAAAAGTATTGGGGTCTAGAACCCAAATGAAGGAATGATACCAACTACTGACAAAGCAATCATAAACAATCTGAATATGGAAAAGAAATTGGTAACTTATATCACAGAGAAGCATCAGAGCATCAGAAAATTAAAAAAAGTTCAACAAATGAAAAGAAACATAGGCAAAATTCATGACACAACTCAAAGAAATACATGTAACTCCTCATACATTAAACACTCAAACAAACAGACCACCTACAGAACTGAACAAAACTGCTAAGTTTGAACAGAGACTATTTTGTCAAGTATCAGGCACACATGCTACAAAAGAAAGCATGGGAATATCTTAATTGCATTTACTCTTTGGACTACAATTCTCTAAATGTTTATCCTACAATATATTTGCCCTACATCAACACGCACAATACATTCTTACTATACTTATATGGAGATTAAAAAATAAGAGGTGCTATTTGAACTGATACAGAGCTAGGATCTATGGGTGCTAGAGACATTCTTTCCCAACTCATCACATCTCTTAATTGAGATATAATTTACAATCGACAGAAGATTAAGCCACCATGCTAATGCTGTATCTTCCCAGAGATATGATGAATACAGATTAATAAACACAAAAGGCTGCCTACAGCCACTCATCTAAGAATTAAGGAAAATAACATATACTTTTATTTGCCTAAACTTGTCTAAGTAAATGCTAAAAAGGTAATCCATAGATTATTAAAACTAAGTGTCTTCCTTATAGGAATCATGGCAGACATGATGGCAGGGGTGGACTTGTGTATACTTTTCTGTAATTTTTCAACCTTAAATTAAGAAACTACTCAAGCAAAATGAAATTAGCATACCCACTAAACAAAACTGTTACCTCAGATAAAGATTCGGAAAGATCTGAGCCCAGACATAGTAGGACATACCTTTACAGCACTTTTGGAGGAGGAGAGGGCACAGTACAGAGAGATGTGAGCCTGATCTACATTGAGTTCTAGGACAACCAAGGCTCTGTAGAGAAACCCTGTCTAAAAATATAATACTGTTTACCTCTACCTATGCCTTTATATTTTCCATGATTTCAGACTGAGATCTAAACTAGACAGATTTCCACTGGCTTATTCACCTTTTGAAAAGGAAAAAAACAAACCAAAAAAAAAAAAAAAAAAAAAAAAACAAAACTACTCCTTGGACTTGGACTGGTGTACCTAATTCAGCGGTAGAGTGCTTGCCTCACATATATGAGGATGCATGTATGAGGCTGTAGGTTTGGTCTGCAGCAACAAAACAAAAAGATACAAACAAGCTTGGAACTGTACTTAAAAACTGTTCAACAGGGCTGGAGAGATGGCTCAGGGGTGAAGAGGACCAGGATTCAATTCCCAGCACCAACATGGCAGTTCACAACTGTCTGTAACTCCAGTTCCAGGGGATGTGGGACCCTCACATGCAGGTGAAACACCATTGTACATAATAAGAATAAATATATCATTTAAAAAATTGTTCAACAGAATTCCAAAATGTATCTTATTTGTATAGAACTTGGTAAGCACTGCAAGGTCTTGAGTTTGAACTTCAGCACTGCAAAAACATAATTAAAACACTAAGTTAAATTTAATTCAGTAAGAAAAAAAAAGAATACATGTAGGTTTTAAGGTTTCAGTTGACTGTAAAACTGACCCAACTTGCCAAAAGGTAAGTTGTGAGACTAATGTGTAAAGAACAGAAGCTTTACTTAAATACATAAACTTTCATTTTAAGGTAGAGAGGAATTAAGGTGTCAATTCCAAATTTACAGAGGCCTCCCTGCCACTCTGAAACCTTTTTATTTTCATGGATTTTGGGGAGGTTTTCTGAACTGAACTGTATTTTGAACCAAAAAAATGATAGTTATTGTGCCATTTTCTGGTGGGTGGTAGTAGTGGGAGGGTTTATTTTGAACTTCTATTACAAAGTTTAGCAGGATTCAATGAAAAGTGATAAAGCAAAATTACTAGTTCTATCTTGAGATTGCTGTGGAATTTTACTACTCCCAATGCATAACACACCTTTAACTTTTAGATATTTTTATTTTTTTAAAAAAGGCAGCAGAAGATATGTTCTGTCTGTACAGGTGGTCAAAGTTAAAGTGTAGTTTAAGAGACTTATCCAATCCACATAAAGCACATGACATACAAGGTCCAGTAGTTAGTACAAAGCCACAATACAAGAACAATGAAAACTGAAATCAAGCTAATTAAAAGAGGAAGAGAGGAAGGAGGGAAGGAAGAATGAACAACTAGGACTATATAGATTCCTAGTCCCTTCCCTGGATACTCATCTACTCAAGGAATATGAGACAAAAAACAGGAAGCAAAACTCTTGAGAGACTATCTGGATCACCTCTCTTTAACCCCAAAATGTCACAGCATACAAAGAGACTACACCATACTAATATATAAACCAGAGTCTCCAAACTAGCCAGAGGGAGCATCTGCCTCTTTAAAACTTGGAGGGAAAAAAATGATCAAACCAAAAAATTTCAGTCATGAAGATCCAAACATTAATAAAGTTCCCTCCCTGAGGAAAGAGCCACAAACTGAATACACAAGCTCACTGCAAGCAGCAGATGAATCCCTTCTGTCCCAGAAGCCATCTATAAATTGTCTAAGAACCAGGACGCCTCCCAAACAAAGATCCTGACAATAAGGAAACTGAGGACTGGCTCTTGGTAAGATCTGCCAAGTCTATTTTGCCATAACCAAATATCAACAAGCATGGCAATATTTTGTCTTTTTTTATGGGGGAAAAAGAAACTGGACACATTAAAATAAATTAACTATAAATCTAAATAAAGTACAATTCACATTCATGTAAAAAAAAAATCCATAGCATGAGTTGGTTCATGCCTGTATCACGAGCACTCAAGGAGGCCAACCTGGGCTACACAGCAAGTTCCAGGTCAGTCTGAGCTAAATAGGGAGTGTCCAAAAAGAAAAAAACAAAAAACAAATACTACTTTTGGCCAATATATTGTTTTTTTTCATGATGCTAACATTAAATAAATGCTTAGTGTGTATGAAATGCCCATTTGAAGGAACTGAAATTCAGTTCTTTTGGCATATCTGATCTGGAGGAAATTAACCAGATGCTAAGACACTTAGTGTTACATAGGCTCCTTTTTGCTTTTCTGAGCAATTACAGTAAGAGCTACAATTTGTATTTACTAACACAAACTTTGAGCTTTGAATACGAAATTGAAATGGTAACCTACTCCCAGCCCCAAGCATCTGTATTTACCTTAGCCATGACTTCTGGATCTGGTTCTTCGACAGGGTCAGCCCATTCAACTGTAACTACATTTCCCCACACTTTTACTTTTCCACTCATCAGCCGTCGTCTGGCTTGTGCTGCTGACTTGTGATCCTCATATTCAAGGAAGCAGAATCCCCGATTCTTCTTTTTGTCATCGGGTTGATGATAGAGAATAACGTCCACCAAACCCTCTGTTAAACCAACAGCCAGATATATAAGCCAAAAGCATCCACCACACGTCTAGTGATTAGGCAGACCTAAATCCACTTGCCAATGAGCAAAAAAAAAAAAAAAAAAAAAAAAAAATAATAATTGAAGAAGCCTCACAGTAGTAAACATTAGGTCAGCATTATTTGATGCAGAGTTTAGGATAGTATTATGTGTTCTCTATTAATTTTAGAGTTCTCAAAAGTAGGTGCAATTACAATGACATTTGGCAATGAATGATAAAACATTACCCATAATTTATAAAAGTACTATCAAATAGACCTCAAGACTCCAATTACTTACATAAATGCAAGAGAACCAACTTTCAACAACTAATCACAGACAAAAAACAAAAAGCAAATAAATCAAAAAAACCTTCCCTACACTCGACTTAATAACTATTCCTTTTCCATGAACAAAGATGATCGGCAACTATATGTTAAATCTCTCCAACCTTAGTCCTTTCCTTTGTCCCTTCGTCCCTTATAGGTCATATGAGCAAACCAAGTACTTTCTACATTCTTATAAACTGAGATCCAAGTGTATGGAGGCAATTAAAATGTCTTGGACAAACTTTACATGTTCAAAACAGCACATCCACACCCAAAATCTATTTGTCTAAGCTTCCTCATCTAATAAACAATCATCTATATCAGCTTAGTCTTCAAGTCAGAAAATAGTAATACTTCAGTTTTTTTTTTTTCCTTTATTTCATCTCTATGGTCCAAATTCAACACATTTACTTTTTCCCATTTTATTCATTACCCTGGTCCATGCTTTTCTCTAAGTTACTATGAATGCTGATAAGTTCTAAGATCTTATCCACAGAATAGAAAAGTGTTCTGTAAAGATGAAACATGTTATTCTATGCCTAAGACCTTCAAACACCTTTTCATTCTATATGCAATAAAATATAAACTTCTTAAATGGTCTAAAAGAGCCCTGCCTATTTCATCTCATATAATTCTGCTTTAAATTGGCTTTAGACAAATATTAGCTTTCCATCAGTTATTTCTTATGTTGTATGAATGGAGAGGAGGTTAGCATACCCCTTGCTAACAGAACAGAAGAGGCACTTGGGCCTACAACACATATACAGTTAAAAAAACAAGTTATTTCTTGACTTAAGACACTTGACATATGTTAATCTTTTGGAATACACTCTGTTCTTTGTATGTTATATGCTCTTAAGTTTTCAGGTCTTGACTGAAACAATAACTTATCAGAAAAGCTAACCATGAGTACAGATATTAGATACTGTTTAGCTAAATAGTCTGTATTTTCCCTTTTATCGTATTTTACTACAATGTAAAAATACCTCTCTTTAATTTTTTTGGTCTAAACTCTTTTCCCAGGCCCTATAAAGGCAAAGAATATCAAAGGATAGGTCTCTTTCCACCATTGTATTCTAGTGTTTAGCAGGAATTTTAATAAGCATATGATGGAGGAATAAACAGAAGGACAGGAACAGAAAGGAACTGCTATATAGACAGTCAGTAGAGCAATTGACCAAAACAAAATGAGCATTGAAAATCAAGGGTTCAGAGCGCAATTCTGACAAAAAAGATCCAGATCTATTCTGGTTAACTGAAGTTTGGCCTTAGATGAGTCATCTACATAGATTTTAAAAATAAATCAATTTAGGACAGAAGGAGAATTAGGCAACCCTCAGGTTAAATAAAGGGTGAAACTAGAGCAATAAATGACAGCTTTAAGGACAAGACAGTATGACTGGGTGCTGAAAATATAAAAGAATACAGTGGTTTTAATATAGGATGCCATGGTCTTAAAATAGTGTTTCCAAATCATAATCCAATCTTTCTTCCTTCCTTACTTTCATTCATGTGTATGAGAGATAAGAGAGGAGAGGGGGAGAGACAAGGACAGACATACACATTGAGAGAGACAGAGAGAGAGCACACATGCCAACAGGTATACCAGCAGAAGCTCCTATGCCATGATACATCTGTGGAAGTCAAGGAACAACGTTCATGAATGGGTTCTCTCCTGCCAATTTGTGTAACCTGGGGATTGAACTCAGATCATTAGGCCTGCAACAAGTATACCTCTACCAGATAAGCCATCTCACTGGTCCAATCTCAACATTTAAAAAGTAAAATACAGGACAGATGTGGTGGCATACTCTTTAATTCGAGCACTCCAGAGGCAAAGGCTGAGGGAAAGGAAGCAAAATCTGTAAATTTGAGGCCAGCCAGGTCCACACTGCAAACTACAGGCCTGCCAAGGCTAAACACTATTTCTTTCTTTCTTTCTTTCTTTTTTTTTTTTTAATGTGTAGCCCAGGCTGGCCTCAAACTCATGATCCTCCTGCCTCTGCCTCCTTCAGCAAATCCTACCGGCGTACGCCACCACAACTGGCGGCTAGACACTATTTCAAAGGAAAAAAACAAACCAAACCAACCAAACAAAAAAATATTAAATAGTGTCTAGGAAAATAGCTCAATAGCTAAAAGTGCTTGTTGTGAAAGCAAGAGGACCTAAGCTCAAATCCCCCAGCAACCACATGAAAAATGGAATGGAATGGAAAATAAGATAACTCGTTTGTAATAAGTCAAAGTATGGTTTTATTCAATTATTTTAGGTATAAAGTCTTCTGTTTTGTGTTGAGATAGGGTTTCAGTTTACTCTGTTGACAAACTCCTAACTTCCAAGTTTGAGGAATACAAGCATGCACCATTATGCATGACTCCAGTTACTTTTACTTAAGTATGTGGGCCTGTGATATAAAAATCTCAATCAACTGCATGGACTCTATTAGAATTTTAAAATTACGTAGACAGGACACCAGGAAGAAATGAGAGCTCTCTTCTCCCTAATCCTAAAATTACTGAGGAAAAAGTTTTCACTTGAGGGACAGAGATTAAAGGCTCTGGCAAAAACCAAGGTTCAACTAAGACAAAGTGAAAAGAAAAATTCTATGAAGTTAAGAATACTTAGAAACATATTTAGTCCAAATACTACTAAAGCAATTTAGATATAGGAGATTTTAATTTTTAGTTTACAATATATCTCCTTTGGGGGGGGAACACTTATATTTATAAATCAACAGATTCCCGCAAACCAATTTCTAAATGCATTTTTGTTTTACCTGTGACTTTACTGAACTCTTCCAGAATGTTTTCTTTAGTCTTATTCTTTGGAATGGATCCAACAAAAAGTCTGTTGTTTGCCACAGAAATGCACACTCCCAGGTGTTTACCAGGGCGAATCTCATAGCTGTCACACTGCAAAGAAGAAAAGAACCGAAGACCCCCCAAACCACCCCAGACTGAGGACAACTGATATTGATCTAAATAAAGAACCCCACAATTTAAGGCCAAACGCTCACCAAGCTCCCGGAAGCTTGAGGAAACATTAGTGTGGATTTTAAACTTGTTACAATCTCCAGTTATTGGTTTTGGGAACTCTATTGTTCATCCATATAAAAATGACTCGAAAATATTCACTTTAACACTGAATATTTCTTTTTCTTCTTTGAGGGGAGGGAGTGAGACAGGGTTTCTCTGTGTAACAGCCCTGGCTGTCCTGGAACTCACTCTGTAGACCAGGCTAACCTTGACTCAGAAATCTGTCTGCCTCTCTCTATTTTCCAAGTGCTGGGATTAAAGGCGTACACTACCATGCCTGGCTATATATTTTCAATTTTATCTACCTGAAAATTCCTTTCCAAAGAATTTCATAAGAAATACCTGAAACTATTCAGAGTCCTTGAGGATAAAATTAAATACAGATAAGCAGCAGCCAAAACAATAATATGTAAAAAGGCACATTAGGTTTAATCAATGCCAAAGAAACTTACAGAGTTTCACACTATATATAACCCTCAATTCTTTATTAAAGCTGTCAACTACCAAAACACTTTCAAAACTTTATGAAGACAATAAAAAATGTTTTCAGGTTTTTGTTTGTTTGTTTTCAAGATAGGGTTTCTCTGTAGCTTTGGAGCCTGTCCTGGAACTTTCTTTGTAGACCAGGCTGGCCTTGAACTCACAGAGATCCGCCTGCCTCTGCCTCCCAAGTGCTGGGACTAAGGGTGTGCTCCACCATCGCCCAGCAATAAATGTTTTAGTTGAACTAACTACAATAACAGATTCTTTAATGAATTTTAGTTTCTTCATATTTTAACATTACCATTAGTTTACTGAAAAAGATGATGACTAAAAAAGTCACCCATACTCTGTCAAAAATGGGAAAATAAAGCCTTGAAATACTGAATGAACAGGTTTGAAGAGAAAAATCCACCAGAAAAACTAAAACCTGGGCCAAGCCAGGAAAGAACTAATTCAGAGCTCACTAATGAAACCAAATCATTTGATGGATACAGCTGTGCTAGATGGGCAAGAATTGCCACTGCTCTACCATTTGTCACATGCCCTCAGATATGTGGCAACAATTTGCCAAGAAACACTGGCACTGTTAAAAACACTGAGAGTCACCTTCATACTGTAAGAATACGGGCTAGAGAAACGGCTCAGTGATTAAGAGCATTGCCTCCTCTTCCAAAGATCCCGAGTTCAATTCCCAGCAACCACATGGTGGCTCACAACCATCTATAACGAGATCTGGTACCCTCTTCTGGCCTGCAGGCACACATTCAGGCAGAACACTTAAAAACAAAAAAAAAAAAGAAAACAAGCCATCTGCAAAACTTACTGCTGCTCTAACAAGCACAAGATGGCAACAAGCCCCAGAGGGGGTGGGGGAAACATAGAAGTCTATTACATAACAAAAAAGGAGACTTAGAATACAATTGTTTAAATGTATAGCTGGATTGTGACAAAAATAAAACATAGTCACATTATTTTTTAAACCAAGCCCTAAAAGTCATTGTCATCCAGTTATGCTCTGCAGAACCATTTAAGTAAGGCTCCATTATACTTAGTGACAAGCCTAAAGTCTGACAGTCTAAAAGAAAAAACTGAATTGGCATGATACTAAATTTAAAAACTACTGAGTTTTTTGGTGCTAACCAATCTGTTAGTTAACTTAGAATTATAATCAGAAAATAAAGCAAAGATTACATACCAACTCAGTCAATATAAAGATATTAAAAGAAGTAACTAAAGAAAATGAAACTGTTAACTGCAAATGTTTTTTAACTTAAGTTTATTCTCTCAAAGGTAAGTTTTTGGTCAGTGGATATTTATTACATACCAGTTTAACTGCTTCCTGGGCAGCTTCCTTTCCACAGAAGGTGATAAATGCATATCCTCTGTTCTGACCAGAAAGTGGATCCATCATGAGTCGTAGATCCCAGATAGGACCAGCCTTCTCAAAAAGGGGTACCAACTCATCCTCATATAAGTCTCTTGGAATTTTACCTACGAAGACCTGAAATAAAGTTTCCTTGTTAGAACCCAACATAAGCATTTCATTTCAGAGGCAGAGTCAGAATTCCTGTCCCTTGTTAGGAGATATAAGCATCTGAATCTTGCAGTTGGTTTAGACTAAATGTAAGCTTGAACTTTTATTATAACCTTGAAGGGAGGTAGGCATGGTGGCAATACCTTCAATACCAGCACTCGGGAGGCAGAGCAGGAGCAGGTGGATCTCTCCGAGCACAAGATCAGCCTTGTCTACACAGGTAGTTCCAGCCCAACCAAGATTACACAGTATGAACCTGCTTCAAAACTAAATGAATGAATGAATGACTAAAATGAATGGATAAAAGGCTGGGCAAGGCAGCACACACCTTTAATCCCAGCACTCTGAAGGCAGAGGCAAGCAGATCTTTGTGAGTTAGGTCAGCCTGGTCTACAAAGCAAGTTTCAGGACAGCCAGGGCTGTTGCATAAAGAAACCTTGCCTCAAAAAACAAAGACAAAAACAAAAATGTCTTAGGGCTATCAACAAAAAGTCTATAAATAAAATGGAAACTGGTAGCTGCACAAAACTGTAGCCAACAACTTCAAAATTGCCTTTTCTTGAAGATCTCTGTGAATTACAGGCAAGCCTGGTCTATTACAGTGAGATACTGTTTAAAAGAAAGAATAAAGAAAAAGCTAAATCTGTGCTTCACAGAAATATAACACACCTTTTTTTGCTTGCTTTTCGAGGCAGTGTTGTAACAGCCCTGGCTATCCTAGGACTCCCTCTGTAGACCAGGCTAGCCTCAAACTCACAG